GGTGCCTGCACACATACAGTCATGCACACATACATACCACACACACATAAACATGCAAGAAAAAGAGACAGCACTGAGATGTGTCTAAGTGAAGGTTGGGCCCTTCTCTAGTCCCCGGTTAGCCAACAATGCTGCTGTTACAAAGCTAGGATGGCTCATCACCCACAGGTCCCATGCTCTACCATGCCGGGCCACCAAGCTGCTCTGAGGTCTCACGTGATTTTCCTGTCTCCTCCTCCTCCTTCAACCCCTCTGAATTTCAATGGTGTTGACTCCGGGTACCTTGGGAAGGGTTCCCATCTTCATCCTCTTTGCTAAGGCTATCTTATATTACTTTACTTATTTTTTATTTAATGAGTGAGGTGCTTAGAGAGCTCAGTGAAGAACTTGCCAAAGACAGTTCTCTCCTTCCACCATCCGGGTCCCAGGGATTGAACTCAGGCTGTTCAGACCTTGTCAGCAAGTGCCTTCACCCAATGAGCCATCTCTCTAGCCCTCTTTTTGGTCTTTTGAGAATGACAGTGTCCCTCCTCCCCATAATACCAAATGTAGCCACCCATGTGGCCCTGCCTCCAGCCTTTCCCTTCTTTCCCTGTCCATCTACATCCCCCTGATCTTCCTTCCCCAGATGGAAGAGTGATCCATCCAACCCAACATTCTCTAGGCTGGATCTCCCTCACTGAGCATCTCTGTTTAGTGCCCCTCCTTGCCTGTTTCCCCTCAGTAACAAGTTCCTTGGGAAATGCCACCATCATCAAGATAATTTACCCAGGTAACTGGGCCTTCTCCTCTGCTTTGTCTACGTAGACCCTGGGTTTTTCCTTTTATACCATTTACAAAAAAAGAATCTTTTCAATGTCTTCTCTGACTGGCTTCTTTGGTGGTCCCCACACACCCTCTTTGTGATGCAATAGCAGGCTGGCTCTCTAGGCATCTATCACATCCCTCACCAGACTAGAGGAGAAGACGTAAGCAACAACTCCTACCTTGGAATTGACAAATTCCTGAGGGAGGCGATGATACTGTGCTGTGGTCTGTTTCTCCCTGGGTTCCATCCCCAGCTCCCACCAGGACCTGTTAGTAACTAAAGTAAGCAGCATTCAGCCTTCTCTCCTAGGCCCAGGGTGTGGTCTCTCTAGAATACTGTACATATTAGTCACTTTTCTCATTGCAGTAGCAGAAAAGTTGACAGACGCAGCCAAAGGCAAGAGGGATTTATTTGGGCTCATGGTTAAGGAAGGGATGCCATCCGTCATGGTATTAGGAGCATTAGGCAGCCTGTCACATTACACCCAGAGTCAGGAAGTAGAGAGAGAGATGGATGCTGATGCTCAGCTGCTCCCCCTTTTTATTTGGTCTGAAACTCCACACCATGGGAAGGAAGGTTCCCTCCTCAATTAAAACTACCTGGGAACGCCCTAGTGACTTTAAAACTGTCAGTTCATAAAATTAATCATCACACTGTATTGGTTTTCTTATTGCTGAAAAAAAAAAAAAAAACAGAAGAACTTTAAAAAAGAGATTTGTTTTGGCTCATGATTTTGGAGGGGTCAATCCATGGTTGCTTGGGCAGAACATCCTGGAGGCCAGAGTATGTGGTAGAGAAGCTCCCTGACCTCATAGAGGGCAGAAAAGCAAAACGAAGCACTTCCTGTAGCTAGGACCCACCTCCCAAAATAGCTCCACCAGCTGGGGACCAACCATCCAAAATGTGAGCCTCCATGGGACACTTCATATACAAGCCACAACAGATCTAATAACAGAACTGCACTTTCCAGCCACATATGCCCTGCTTGCTAAGGGAGAGAGCAGAGAACAGCACCCAGAGGCCAGAGCCTGTCCCACCAGGCGGCACTAAGCCTCCCTGCACAGCGGGGAAGAACAACTGTGGGATTGTGGGTGGCTGTAACCCCAAGGGTGGCACTATGGGTGTTGCTATTTGTGTCTCAGCACAGTGTTCTAGCGCCTATTCCTAGCTATTTTCCACCAGGAGCAAAGGCCAAGTCTTGAGAGTCTCTTCAGCTCCCAATGCCAGCTGCTGCTACTGGGAAAAACACTGTTTTTCTTCTGGTAAGATTTGGATCCAAGAAACTGAAGAAAGCATGTGGCCCTAGGCCTTTCTCCCTCTGGGTTTAATGTTCTCATATCTTAGGAGTGAAACAGGAAATTCTGGGAGCACTTGCTTTCCATCCTCGTGGCAAACAGACCATGGACATTGCACTCAATGTCTGTATCACCCCATCACTCAAAACAGGGCTTAAGGAGACTACTTCATCTGCTACATAAATGTCCTCTCATCACAATTCTGCCAGGTTGTTAGATATTCCTCTCTTCAGCTTCCAAAGCAAGAGATAAGCCTCACAGTGTTGATGCACACCTTTAATACCAGCACTCAGGAGGCAGAGGCAGGTAGATCTCTGTGAGTTCAAGGACAGCTTGAGTATTAAACAGAGCAAGTCTATCTCAACACACACACACACACACACACACACACACACACACACACACACACACACGATAAAGTACTTGAAATAACTTTTTAAAAGGAATTAAAACAAGGCACTGGAGGGCTGGGGACATAGCTCACTGGTAGAATACTGGTCTACCATGCACAGGATTCTGACTTCAATCTCTAATGTCATAAAGAAAACATTATTTCTAAGATAATAGTGTTCAGTTCTGACCATCTTACAAATCTCACCCACTCAGAATGTAACCCACCTGTTATTCAAAAAAAAAAAAAAAAAAAAAAAAAAGAACTCCCATAATGGAAGGGGACACCATTCTCAGGGAGGCTGCGGTCACTTCCTACTTAGAAAATGCCAGCTATCTTCGTAGCCTGACCCCGGTTCTCGCCATGGTCTTTAAATGCCTTATAGGCCTTTCCTGCCTCCTTCCTTCTCTGCCATACCCACCTTCCTTATCCCCCCCCCCCAGCATCCTGTAAGCATGTGACTGCAGCTCCCCAGTGCATTGGTCCACTCTGAAGTAGACCACCCCTTCTGCACAGTTTCTTTTCTTTTCTTTTTTTTTTTTTTTAGACCAAACCTATAGTCTTCCTCTCCAGCTCACCTCCTTGCCCACATGTGTCTTCCTGAAACCCTCTCTGTACCAGCTGCATTTGGGGTTGGCCCTGGGTAAGGGGTGTTTATTGACTTTCCCATCACCGAGCTATGGCTGATATCCTTCTACATACCACCTGGGGAAAGACCAGCTCCGTGGGTCCTTCTGCTCCTCCCTTATCCATAATGCTATGGGTGCATCTTGACCCAATCTGATTCATCTTTGTTACCTTTACCCACCAGTTCTCCTTGCCCTGCATGCAGCCCTGGGATGAATGCCAAGCTGAGCCTCAGTTAATGTTTGTTGAATGACTGATTGGGTATTTGTGGCCTCTGAGAGGTAAATGAAAGGCAGCCAAAGCCGTGGGAATAATTATCTTGCTTAAAAGACACACTTGTTAGTTCCAGGCCAAGTCTTAGAACTGATTCCAGCGAGCTTGCTTTCTCTGTCCCTCTCTTCTGTCCCCGCTGGAGCTGCAGCCACAGGAGGAACCGCAGCGAGAGTCCAGACCTAATAAGTTTCTTCTGCACATGTCCTGTTTGCCCATGGCATGGCATGCTGATTCTTGTCACCAAAGAGGAAGTGCCAGCGTGGCGTCTTTGGTGATTCTTCAGTGTACCCTTTCCACATGTTGCCCCAAGGAAAGGGATTGTGGAGCATGTGCAGGCTTGGGCACGGGGTGGAGGGCTGCAGGACTGTTGCCAGGGGCCTCCCCTGCATCATTACAACGGTTAGATGGTTAACCCAAGGGAGGATTCTTCTTGGTCCCTCCTCTGCCAGAGATTTCACCTTTACCCACTGTCCCTTGTATGCTGTGTGAGGTCCCAGCAAGATAGAGTGAGGTTACAGGGAGAGATGCCCACCTCCTCTTCCGTCCCAGCTTCTCAGATGGCGAGGGGTCATAGACTAGGAAACAGGTACATCCACAGAAAAGGAAGGGCAGAGATGACCTTGATTTGCTTGCTTTAAACATAAGGCATTTGGGTTGCCATAGCAAATACAGCAGACAGGGTTCCAGTTTCGGGTAACTGTCTTGCTGTCTGCTCTTCCTGCACTATTGCTGGCCCAAGGAACCTGGAGACCCTACCTCCTGAGACAAATTTAAAGTCTGCTGGCTGAATCCTCCACCTTTCATTGCTATCTCTGTCCCCCTCCCACCCTCCCACGTGTGTCTTCTTATTATAGCTCAGTTGGTTGCAGTTCACCCCTCTGCATTTAATCAAGTTTGGGAGACTCACCTTCTAGTCACTTCATTTATTCAGGGTGACTTTTTCCATTCTATGCCTTTGTCTCCCCCCATACCCATTATATTGGCACATTTCCTGTGTCTGCAGGCCTCAACTGTCCATGACCAGCATGTCATCTTCCACTCGTGTGTGGGAGATGCTGGCCTTAGGGTGGCTGGGGGAACATGAATCAAGCCTCTTTAACCATGCCTCCATGGAACCTGGACTAGTCCTTGGAAGATTTAGGGACTCTTTGGTTTCATACGTTATTCATCTCTAAGCCACCAAAAACTGACTATGAGGAAAAAGGCTACCTCTGAACATGAGTCCACAGGCCTTCCTGAAGAAGCCAAGCGAGTGTCAAGCAGCTTTGAATATCAGGCCTGGTGTCTAAATCCATAGAACCATGGAAGAATGTCCAAGGAACCACCCAAAAACCTGAGCCTGTGTCCTCATCCTCCCACCCTCCCCCACCCAGGAATAGAGGAACTCAGTCGATGGAGACTGAGGAGGAAGAAGGAAGGGATAGGGATCTCAAGAAATCGAGATGTGCTGGACCTTGAAACAGACCAAAATTCTCCCCTGCAAAGCTATCAATATCAAAAGCCAGATTTTGATATCTACTCAGTTTGATCTCAGCTCTTGTTGGACTCTTAGAAAGTCCATTCATTGTATGATCATCTTTAAAGAACTATTTTATTTCCAATGCAGACACAGCCCTTGACGTAGCAGTCAAAAACAGCACCCCTGAGAGACACATGGCTATGAAGTGTTTGGGTATGTAACCTCCTGTCTTTGCCTACACAGAAGGCTTGGTCCCACTGCTCTGTATGCCCCTCACATGGGTGTTTCCCCTACCCTGGAGCTCAGACTTCAGAATGCACTGGAGGTCAGCTAGGACAGGAGGTCTCTTCTGCAGGGGGGACTGGTTTGGGATAGGGAGTGGTGGCCATCTTTTACCCAACAAGAGTTTCTTTGAGAGCACCACTCCCTGCCCCCCACTCTGAAGATGGAAGTCAAATTTTGGGACTCTGCTGTGCAGAGCAGAGAGGTCACTGGGCTCTAATGCATTTACCATTGACTGCCCCTCTTGTAGTGCGTCTATTAGTGAGTAATTTGATTTGTACCTATTCATTTGCAGTCCCTGCAGGAGCCTGGAGCTGGCCCCTAGTATAATTGGTGCTGTCTCTATTTTTACATCATTAGATTAGCCCCGACTCCTGGCCACTTGTTGTCTGCGCTTGTCTGTCCATTTATACAACCTAATGTAACACAAAATTCATTACTGATCACATTACTTTCAACTCTGAAGCCAGCCTTGTGATAAACATTTGGTTAACCCTTTCCTACCCACGGGGAGGCTGGTGGAACAAATGCACTTCTGCTCGACAGGCAAATCAATATCTTAATACACCAAAGTGGAATTGCATTTCTAGATTTGTTATCCCTCCTGGTGGAGCAAATGGAAAGGCTCACCCGAGCCAGCTGAATTGAATAATGAATAGGGCCCGGCACCAGCAGCCTGTCTGAGACCAGCACAAAGGGCAGAGCCACATCAGCCCAGCCTGGGATGCAGTCAGGGAAGGGTGGCACCACTGTAGTTAAGTGAGGACCTCCCCGCCCCCCAGATCCACCATGGCGCAGGCGCACAGGCTCTGCATCAGAGGTCAAGACCATGACTAGGGCCACAGAAGTCTCGTGTTGATGCATGTCTTTTGTCGGACTTAGCATGGGACCACTGGGCAGGCAATTGGGTCAGTTTCCTTAAAACTTTACTCATCAGTGGAGCGGCTCCCAAGCATGTGATCCTAACCTAAATGCCATCCAAAAATTAAATTGACTACCAAGGCCAAGTTTACATTTGGCAGCAAATACCAAAAGGCTGGGATTGGTAGGTTCCTACCTGTCCTCCAGGTAAGCACTGTGCAGCCCACAGATGTCATGTGGCGTGCCTGTGCTGTGCCTGGTTCTAACAATTAGCGAGCCTTTCATACGGGCGCTAACCAAGAGTTTTAAAGGGACCTCAGCACAGCTTTGTTTTTAAGTCTAGAAGATTCTGCACAGCCCCAACCCTTGTCACCCCCTCCCCAGCTTCCACTTGTCTCTGGGTTGCATCCACACCCACAACAAGTCATTAACTCACAGGACAGTTTATTTCAAAGGGGAAAAAATACCTCCACTTATTAAGAACTGCTCATAAAGCCACACCATAATGATGAGAAATATCGGCATGGAGGAAATAGAATGGAACCCATTACCATGAAAGTCATAAATCCCTGAGTAAAAAGACTCCATAAACTGAAGATGCTCGGGTGGGAAGGGAGGCTGGGAGAGCCTTCTGCTTGCCTGTGGGGAGGTCCTAAGCTGGAGCCCGGAAAGGAAGATGCCCTGAGGGTGTAGTACTGAACAGGGCAATCTTCCTCAGATCTACTATCCCTGCTGTTCCAAGCTCTTAGATGAAGGCCTGAGGCATTCCTTTCATGGCTCACTCTTGCTCTCATCTGGTAGACTGATGCCTCCTTTCTGTAAGAAGGCAGGAAGAGCTGGGGAAGGGGCATCCTGAGCAACAGGCCTGAGGTCATAGAGTGAGAGCTAGGAAGTGTCTGGAAGTATCTTCCTCACCCTGCCCTGAGCTTCAGGGCCAGTGTACAGGATGGGAGGGCCACTTGTCCCAGCACCTCAGAATCACCACTCTAAAGCACTTTCTAGCATAAGGGGCTACAAAGAAGGGGTCCCCTTATCACAGGTTAGAGGTCATCCCGTATCTCCCAGTGGAAGGAGATTGGCATCATTGAGGTAAGCCAGCCAGTGTCTGCCTCACAGGAAGAATGGTGACAGTCACCTCCCCCAACCCACCAGCCCCCAATGTGGACTTGTTTAGCCACAGGCCTGCGGTTTTTTCCTCTCTGGTGGATAGAAAACATGGGGAGAAGAGGAGGAAGGTACCCTGTGTATCACATACCTGATGCTGGCCCCAGCACGTATGATCCAGAAAGTAGATAAGGGGAGATATGGCAGCTCATACCTTAGTTCAAGAGGATGAGGTGGAAGGATCCCTTAAACCCAGGCTGTCTAACACAGTGAGAGCCTAAGAGACAAATAGATGGGGGATGGGGTAGGTCTTTGCCCTCTCGGTCTAGAACAGGTCCACCACAGGAAAGAAGGTCAGTCTGCTGGTGGAACAAGAAACTGATTTTAGCCATGATGGAAAGGGGGTAAAGCCACCTCTTACCGAACTCTTCCGCTGTGTCGTAGAGAATTTAATTATGCTTGGACATTTAAATGAGAACCAGATGTGGCTCGAGCCGCCACCAGTCAGCAGTGTTCAAAGTGTAGCATCTCTCCTGTGGTCTACAGACTCTGTGCTGTCTCATAAGGCTGGAGGCTAGCTCGGAAAGTACCCTGTCTGACAGCTTAAGCTGGGGCCTCCAGGCCTTGTAGCTGGACTTCAGGAGGCAGGCGGGTCAGCACGAGCTGCCAAGCACCCAGTTCCTGCTGAGTGCCTCCTCTTTAGGACTGTGTGGGATGGAACACACATGTCCAGTTTATGAGGCACCTAGGCCTTCACTAGGAGCCACACCAAAAAGTCATGCCGTAACACGGGACCTGGTCTTCTCGATATGTCTCTATGCTGCTCAGCTCTGAGTCAGCCTAAAATGGCATCTACCAAGGCTCCAAACCTCTGAAAGCCATCACACCACTGTGCACACTGTCCCCTCATGGTCTACAGATGCCAAGTGACTTGCCCGGGTTATTCAGCACTCTGTGACAGCACTAGGACCAGAGCAATGTCCCTCCCAGGACTTTCTTCCTTGTGACTCTGTAGGGCATGCAGTGGGGCTCAGTGAAGCTTGGCTTTAGCTAGTCATCAAAGGCCTCAGAGGGGAATTGTGGGCCAGATCATCTGTATCTTTCTGTCCCCTCTCATATAGTCTCCTGTGACAGAGTGGATCCAGCCTTCGTCAGGATTTAGAGTTACTTTAAGGTGATGAGTGTTGGGGGGTGTCGCTGAGTGTTGCAGGAGGGATGTGGCGTGAGTTACTGGTCCTTCTGTCTTATCCTTGGAAGCTGAGACATAGGGATGTCAGATGGTGTGGGTTTTCTGGGAACAGGGTACTACAACCCTGATGGTGCAAGACTTCCCCTTCATGGGTGGGTGGGCTCCAGCCCAAACAGACCAGACCCCACCCGCCAACCTGATGCCACTCGTCAGCACTTCCAAGGCTGTTCAGGAGATGCGGGGCCATGCTGTAATCAGCACTGCCTGGAACGCCAGTGCCCTAACCCCACCACACGCGTACACACATTCGTGCACAGACACTTTCAGTCGGCTCCAGCAGAGAGGCTAGAGACCTTGTGGCCACAGACAAGATGGGGCTCTGCAAGAGGCCTCCTTCTGAGAACCCCTCCCCTCCTGAGCTTCTGTCCCTCCCTCTCACACCCCTGCTTTTACTCTCCTTCCTCTGGAATGTACCTATCTCCTGTCACCGTGGACCCTCTCCCGTGGACCCACCAGAGCTTCAGCTCCCTCCAGGCCCCTATGCAGTGGCGTTGGTACTGTACTGGCCTGCCTTTGAGATTCGAATTTTCACGGGCTCTTTGCCAGGTTTCTGGGTGGAAGCTAGAGCTAAAGGTTTCTGCTGGTCCATCTGTCTCCCTGAATATTGCCCCTTCCTAGTACTGGCCACCACTATCACTGTCTAAAGACTGTGGGTACCCAGGAGCATCTGAGTTCTCCTGGGCCTCAGGTCTCTCTCTCTCTCTCTCTCCACAGTAGTAACTGAGGTTCTTAGTCATAGCCTTGTGGTCAAGGCTCCCTGAGCTGAAAACACCTGAGATCTGCCTTCACTGCTGGCAGACAGCTGATGACTTGGGGGACAGGATGGGCTGTAGAGGCTTAGCCTCGTTCTCTCACGATGGTCTGTGTCTCAGTGTGCATCTGAGTCAGGGCAAAGCTGCGTGGGTGTGTTCATGGGAGTCCTGAGGGTTGACCTGGCCAGGAAAGAGACTTCTGTTGCCCCAGGCGGCTGCAATCTGAAAGCACTCAGGGCGCCAGGCTGTGTGTGTGTGTAGTAAGACACCAGAAGACTGGCGTCAGCCAGCCAGGGATCTGAGTTCAGACATAGGTGTTAAGCCCCGGAGATAAGAGCAGACCAGAGCTAGCCCTGGTTTTCATCTCCAAGCCGGGATTCCTGTGATCTGAATAGGTGGAGCCTTTTCAAACTTAGCCTTGCAGCTTCGAGAAGGCGAGCCTGGCAAGGTCCCAGAGACCCTGCTGAAGGAGAAAGGTGACTTGGGTCTCCATCTCCACTAGCCCTCAGCCCCCAGTCTTTCCAAGCTCACCAGGATGGGAAGCCCTTTGACTGTTGGCATTTTGCAAGCTTAGAACCCTGATGGGAAGGAAGGCTGGAGAGGGCACAGAGGGAAGGTCCAGAGGGGCCAGGCAGCCTCAGAGCTAGGCGCTGTGCTAAGTGCAAAGGAAAGCTTGTTTCCTTAGGCTGTTGCCTTTAACTGCTGTACTTTTAACCTCCTCAGAAAGGGGCCTTGGGGGCCGCGGCTGGCTCCAGCCCAGAGCGTGGTCTCTGATGGTGCTGTCACAGTTTAGCAGTAATCTCAGCCAACACCATCTATGTCCCCCACTGAACAAGCCTCTGCCTCCTCAGCCACCCTCCAAGAGAACAGCAGTTTACAGGCCTTGAGCTCGATAAGACAAGCAGCCCCTCACCATTGTCTGCCAGGTCCAGCCACCTCCCAGATGACATCAGGGCCAGTTGTCCAGGTCTCAGCCCCAGGAAGCATTCAGGCCTCCCATCTCCCCTGTTATATGCCTCTCTCTGTCTCTCTCTCTTTCTCTCTCCTCCCACCTTTCTTTTTCCCTCTCTTCCTGTTTATACTGTTTCTCCTAGCTAGTTCCAGCTCCCACCCCCACCCCGGTGTTCAAGCTTCTTGCTAACAAAATGGTTTGCTTGGGACAAACCCCATCTGAACCAATTTGCTGAACTTGTAACTATCCTGTGGTCATCTGGTCTCCTCACTTTTATCCCTTCGAGGGAAAATGCTGGTCACTCTGACTTCTTAATGAGGGGACACCCCATCCCCCATCCAACACACACCTAACTCTCCACCCAAAAACCCTCAAGCAGAAGGAACTGAAAGCTGTTTTGATTTTTACATATCTTTCCTGCGCCAGGCACTGGGCAAGGCACTTGGTTGGCTTCTCTGTATTCGTTCACTGCCCTGAGCTCCCACCGAGCCCACCCCAAGTAGGGGGGTCTTAACCACAGCCCCTACTAATGCTGAAGAACTGGGAGGTAGATGCAGGAGGGAAAAAAATCAATGCATGTCAACGGGGATAGGAATTTACTCTCCATCTTGGGAGAGGGTTTTGGAAAGAGGCAAGGAAGGAAATGAAAAGCTGTAAACACGAATCTGCCATCCTCCTCCCTGAACCATCTCTTGATTAAAAAGAAAGATTCTTTGCCCAGAATCCAGTGAAGGCAGAGCTCGTGGGGGCTTGGGTAGCAGGGCCACCTGCAGGGTTGAGGGGAGGAGGCTGGATAGGGCCCGATGTCCTGGGGATAATCACAGTGACTAATTCGATTGCAGCAATAATAGTAACTCACATTTGCTGACTGGAAGCTTTAAGCACTTTGGGATGTGCTCTATATGCATTATTTAATTCCATTCCTACAGCCAGGCTCTGAAACAGACATTGTTATCCTCAAGCTCAGGAACCCAGGGCACCTGCCCCAAGTCTCCAGGAAGCAGGTGGCCAGAGCCTGTGCTCTTAAAGGAGTCCCTAGATGGCTTCCTCTATCCCAGGTAGATGGGCCTACCTACCTGCCTTTCCCCTCAGGCTGAAGTTTGAGTCAGACAGGGGAGATGGACCCCTCTTCACCACAGGAAGTGGCCAGAACCTCAGCAGGGGCAGACTTCTCCTCATACCAGGTCTAATCCCACTCCTACTGGGCAGCTTGGGTGGTTAGTTTAGGACCAGGGTATGTGGCTACAGCTAGGACCTAATAAAAGTGCTCCACTAATCCCTTTAATGAGCAGCATCTTGGCACTCATGTGTTCAGAGCAAGGCTGGCTGGGACAGGCAGGAGCTAGGGCCCGCTATTCTTTTGTGGTGGTGGAAGTCCCAGGATTACCCCAAGGCTGAGCCTGGGCCCCTGGGTACCCTCTTCCAAACACACACAGCGCTGCCTTTGCAGGTCCAAGGGGGTCCTTCTGGATCCTGGAGACTTGGGCTCCCCACAGCTCCACGCCAGCCAGGGGCCCTTTGAGGGTCTCAGACTTTAGGTAATTAGACCTGAAGAATGCCCAGCCCAAAGCAGAGTTTACTTTTGGCCTTCTGCTGGAGCCCTCTTCCCACTTGGCCACAGCTGTGCCAAGTTTCATTAAGGCCTAATGTCCTCAGTGTCTCTCCTCCCTACCCAGAGAATGGGGAGCCAGACCTCATGATGTATATATAGTAGCTGATCCATGAAAAGTCATGCCATCACCCCACCCACCCAGAGCCAGGGCACAGCAACTGATGCTTGGCCAAGGGACCGTACCCACTGTATAAGACAAGGTACAGGGTCAGCTGTGCCTGTCTCCTCACAGAGATTGAGTATGATGCCCCCTCCCTGTGTGTACCTCTGCCGATGCTCCCAAGTAACTGGAGTCCTTCTGAGAGGCTAGCCACCTCTTTGCCCTGAGATGCCTTAGGAGTTTGATAGGCACCCTGTGGAAGTGTTGGGGAGGGGGGAGTAACAAGCAGACAAGGCATCCTCCTCTTTAGGTTTATTTATTGTGTGAGAGCAGAGGCCTCTCCCTTCCCATGACTGTCCCTGATGTCCTCTCCTGTCCCCCATGGCCTGCCCAACCCAACCTGTGCCATCGGGGGGGGGGGGGGTCAGCTCCAGTAACAAGCCTGTTTTCTAGCAAGACCATAGGCAGTCTGGGCATTGGAGTCTGGCATCCTGTGGCCTGCCCCAGTGACAGTTCCCCATGTAGGGTGAGCCCAGGGCCGTGTGGCTTCCTCTTTGTCCTTGGTGTTGCTGTATGCAAGACAGAGCTGTCACTCCCACCTTCTAGGGTCCCCAAGCCCCTGGAGAATACGAGGGCACAGTCTGAGTGTGAGCACTGGCTTGAGGTCCCTCATGTCACTGCTGGGGGTGGGAGGGAGGACAGGAGAACAAGCTCCCTTATAGCCATGTCTCATGGGCCAGACTCCATGCTGCTGGGGGAACCTCTCTAGTTGCCTGGTCCTGGCCGGTTTCTGCTAGGCTTCATCAGGAGTCTACTTATACTGCCAGAAAGCTGCTGAGATCTGGGGAGGTTGGGGTGGGGGTTGAGCCGAAGCCAGGCCACTAAGTCAAAATGTCTAGAGTACTCTTCAGCCTGCCTCCTTCCTCTTCCTCTCCCAGCAACCCTCCTGCATGGGGTCCCATCTGGCACTGCATGGGCCATAGGTCCCTGTGTGTCCCCTTGTAGAAGCTGTTGTGTTATGCTTACTATGTGACTCCTCTCCCCCCCCCCCATACTGAAAGATTCACAACACTTGTACCTCTGGGCCCGCCCCCCCATGACTGGTCAGTCTCCCGCCGCGTCACGTGCATGCCAGTGTCCTGGACAGCAGAATTCCACTGCAAGACCGCCCTCTTCCCGTGTGACACCCCTGCACCTCCCTCCACCCTCTCCTTCTGCTTGTGGAGATCAGTGTACTTCTGGATCATTGTCCATATCTCTCAAAGGAAAAAGAGAAAAAGAATCCTCAATGCTTTTCTTTTCAAAAGGGAAAAAAAAAGGAAAAAAAAAACAATGCCAACAGCCCAGCGTCCGTGAACAACCCAACAGTAACAAAGCATGCGTTCGGGATGGAGGAAGGTAAGGCCACGTGTTTCCACTCGCCGCTTGCTCCTAGGGCTGGGTGGGGTGACCTGAAGTGGGGATCCAGTGTGCATCACCCCTCCTCCATGTCCACTTCCCACACGCTGTCACTCTTGCGTCTTTGGAGGAACAAAGAGAGATCTGGTTTGACAGCAGGTACACAGGGAAGCACCCCAGAGACTGTCCCAGGACCAGCCAAGCCCCAGATCCTACCACTAATTAGTTCACGCTGGAGAAAGGCCCCATGTCTCCCTACCACATCTTTCATTCCAGAAATTATTTTTGTGGACAAGCTTCTTTTCAGTCCTGGAAATTGTGACTGGTGAAGTAGAGACGAGGCACACACACCCTACCAGGACCTGTCCTCCTGCGGGGTGGGGGGTGTGATGCACTTGGAGTGGAAATGCAGAGTTCAGTAGGCTCTGAAGTACATATCAGGGTCACAGAAGAGTGGACACCCATAAAAAGCTTAGAGAGACAAGCACGCATTCTGGGGCCCAGTGACCTCAAGCTGTCCATACAGGAGCATCAGGCTGTGAACAGCCATCTGGTAGTGCCGGGAAGTTTATGCCTAGGGACCCTGAGGAGTGAGTGACAGTCTAAGTGGAGGAATAATAAGATGTTGTGTTGTAGAGTACCCTGACTTTGAGTGGATAAGTACAGAGATCTGGGAACCCCAGTGGCCAGTTCAGACTAACCAGGGCAATATTAAAAGGAGACGAAGTCAGCAAAATCTTAGGTACCCTGGGATGTGGAGGCAAGGAGCAGGCTTGCCCGGCCCCATCTCTCCCAGGCCTAAGTAACAGAGAGAAAGCTTGGCCATGCCTGGCCTCCAAGAGAGCAAATCCATCTTGTAACCCTCTGGCAACTGTCCCTGCACTGTCATTTGATAGATGGGGTGTGTGTCCACTCAGACTCATGTGGTGGGGTCACCAAGATGACTAGGGGTATTGCTGGGACTTACGCCGAGGGACAGTGGGTTGCCAAGCTTGGGCCTGGGCTGTGGATTCCTCAGCTTCTTTGGCAGTGTGGATATGTGGCTATGTTGCATTTTGAATCAAGACTGTCGGGGCTCTCCCTCTGCTTGACAAAGAAGCCACCCTTCCCCTACTGATGGCCTCTCTGGCTCCTTATCTGGGGCAGTCTTCCTTGGGCCTGCATCCATCCCATCTGTATCCTGAAGAGGCCCCTGCCTTTCTAGCTACTGACTGCTCCCCTCCTGCCCTTCTGGCCCTGCTTCAGCGCCCCCTAGTGCTAGGTTGGCTGCGCAGTAGGGCATGGGCCTCTGAAAGCTACTTGGGTCCTTGGGTTTCTCTGGGAAACTCCTGGGCTTGCTTGTGCAAAAAGAAAAGAAGAGAAGAAACTCTATTGGAGTCTGCTGCTTGCTTACGAGTGCCCAGGGTCTTCCCTTTGCTCTCCAGCCCTTCCCCTCTAGTACACAATGGCCCCGTCCCCATATGAAGGTGAACCTGAAAGCTAAGCAGGAAGAAAAGATCTGAGCAGCCCCCTGCCTCATCTTTTTGCACATACAAAGCTATCCCATGGCTTTCCCAGGACCAAGGCCCCATAGGAAGCCAGCGTCCAGTCCCTCAGCCTGTGTCACTTACTACTCACAATGCTCACAACATGATGGGAATCTATAATATCCTGGTGTGCTCTTATAGCCTAGGCTCAGGTCCAGACATGACTGGCATAGTTACCCTGTCTTCTGTGGCTGCTGCTGCTGCCGCCAGGCAGCCCAACTTGGGCTATAGTGTGGCCTTCAGTGTGATGTACCAACCCAGTGGAGGCCATGACCCCTCACTCCCTAACCAAAGCCAGCTGTGTTGCATGTGTATGGCGGCAGGGGCCTGGGGCAGGGACAGACTGGGTACTGAGCTCTGAAGCCGTATCAGATGAGTGTGTTGCTGGGCATACCTTGATGTTTTGAGTAACTGCTTTGAGATCCTACACTCCTGAGGTAGACAAGCAAAACTCTCTAATCACAAGCTTCAGAGGAAGAAGCCGAGCCATAGGTCACCTCTGAGCTTGGAAAAGACTCCAGAAACTGTCCGCGCATGTGCTTGCCTGTATCTCAGAGCCAACAGTGAAAAGCAAAGAGGGACAGGAACTGACCACCCTGAGAAAACCAATAAATGAACCCAGCAAGCAGGAAGCCCTGCGCTTGCCCCAGTTACTGTCTTGGATGAAGAAGAGGTGGTGAGGCAGTTACCATAGCTAAACAACATGGGTCTGTGTGCCATTTCCAGAATAGCAGTGTGGAGGTACAGGGACTAGAGTCACAGGACCTTGCCACTCTACAGATCACTCAGCATATTCATTCTGTGGGTCTCCAGGAGACTTGGGGGGGTTGAAATGAAATATCCATGCACCCTCCAGTGGAATAGGTTCCCCCTCAAAAAAAGGAGCCCATTATACAGAGAAGGCACACACTTTCTACAAGGTGCAAGCAAGCTCAAGCCTGGCTAGCAGAGCTTTTGTGGTTGAGAGTAAGGGAACAATGGATGGCTAAACTGGGATGGAGCTCTGGTGACAGGTCAGCCAGAAGAGCAACAGATGAGGTAGGGACAGATCAGGCAGACAAGCTGTCTCTTCTCTTGCCCTGGCTTCTGCCCACCTGCTGATCCTAGATAGTATGCACTGAGGAACTGGAGGAGAATGCTGACTGAGCATGAGTACGTGTGCAGGTGCTAGCCTACACTCCACGAGTGACTGTGCCACCCACACAGGGCCTCAAGGCTTCCCCTCACAGTGAAAGAAACCCCCAAGTCAAATGCTAGAGTCTGCTAGCCAAGGGGGCTTCCTCTCCCCTAACTGAGTTGTCCTGTGACCTGAGCTGCCACTTGGCCCATATGGAGAGCAGGTGGGCATGAACCTCCCTGAAAAAGAATATGAATGGACCCACAGTGGGACCTGATGGTGAGCAGCCAGGCCCTGGGTGTGTCCCCACCTCCAGCCTGCTCTGACCAAGCCTGGCCCTCTCCTCTGTCTTGCAGAACTTCAGCGAGAGGGAAGCATCGAGACTCTGAGTAACAGCTCAGGCTCCACCAGTGGCAGCATCCCAAGAAACTTCGATGGCTACCGATCTCCGCTCCCTACCAACGACAGCCAGCCGCTCAGCCTCTTCCCCACTGGCTTCCCATAGCCACCAGCCACCTGCTTCTGACTGGCTGGCTTGCTCACCCTCTAGAGGGACAGGGAGAAGCACCCCGCTCCCTGCACGCCTCTGGTCCTACCCTTCTCAGTCAGTCTCTGTTCCTCTTTCATCAACTCCACCTCCCCTAAGCTTAGTGACAACAGCCGCTCATCCTATCTGGACGAGAAGAGACCTCCAGAACACCTCGGCACACCCTGACCTCTGCCACTCCTGTCATTGGGGGCTGTGGCCAAAAGAGACTGCAGAAATTCAGTCCCTTCTCTCTTTGCACATAATGTCCCGCATCGGATCCGCTTTTGTATTTTTTAACTGTACCCACAGGGGGACTGGAACAGTGGCCAGATCTTAGGGCTTGGGTGGGGAGAAGTTGAATGGTCCAGCCAGGCATTCAGGTGGACAATGTCAGCACTAGCCCACTTCAGGCTGTGATGGGCACTGCCCCTCCCCCCCCCCCCAGGTATCCCTGCTCGGTTCCCTCTAAGACAGGAGTGAACTGAAGCCCGGAGTGATAGGGAAGGAAGAAAGAAAGAGGCTCCCTTTGGTCCTTGCTTCCCTGTTGGCTCATGGGGAGAAATTGTCTGTCTTATCTTTAAGCCCTTGTACCCTGGTCCTGTACTGTTCGGTGAAGGAAACCGTGGTTACTGAGGCCATGTCGAAAGTGCACGTCTTGTTCAATAAATCACGCTGCAATTGGTGTCCATCCCTGAGTTGCTGGGGTCAGAGTCCTCTCCAAACCCTGAGCAAAGTCCTGACTATGGGCAGCTGCTCTCAACGCTCACACCCCCACTATGTACAAGTGACAGGGAGCCCATGTTGGGTAGGAAAGGGGAGGACAAGTTTCCCACTGGAAATAGGTGGGGCGTCACTAAGCCCAGGCTCCAAGATTCTTGGCTGTTACCAGAGCCTGTGACTTCTGGAGGTGCCAACCTTAGACCTCCCCACTAGTGGACATAGAGGGCAATTCAGCCCCTAATGTGCCATGGGTTGCTCTAGGAAACAAGATTGCCCTTGACTGTGACCTTGTCTTAGGACACTTGGGAACCACCTCTCTTTTGAGCTCAAGAAGACAGAGAGCTTGCGAGCTAAAGTTGGGTATCTTGTGAAAGTTGGCTACAACCTCAGATCGAAAGCTCTTGGGTTTTGTTGTTGTTTTGTTTTAGAGACCAGCCTACTACAGGTAGCTCAGGTTGACCTCTAACTCACTGTGTAGCCAGGTATAACCCTGATCTTCCTGCCTCCACTTCTCAAGTGCTGGGATTGCAGGCATATGCCACCATACCCAGCCTGAATTCTTGTTTCATTTCCTCCCTCCTCCTATTCTGAACCTGAGCAGTGACAGGAAGATAATAGCCAAACAACAGGGAGGTGCGGGGAACAGGGAGAGAGGTTAATGCAGTTCTGGCCCCTCTGCCTTCCACACACCTCAGAGGCCTCAGAAAGGTCTTGAAGGACTGAAGGAAACCCACCGAGCCCGGGATGCTTTAAGACAGTTTTTAATGGAAGAACTGGACTCACAGACAAGCAGTGTTCCCACCCCAGTGCCTGAAGAGAAATGTAATATTCCATCTCCTCCATCAGATCAATTGACCCTATGAGGAGAAGACCCTACTCACACTGTGCCTCCTGTCTGGGCCCCTGAGGGTTGAGAAACCCTGTATCAGAAGGAAGCTTTCTGGGAACACAAGGCCTAGGCCACGGGCGCAAGCTGGGACTCCACAGGACAGCAGCTTTCCCCCATTTGGGCAGCATTCAACATCAATGTGCCTGGCACAGCCCCCATCCCCAGCTGGAGCACCATTTTAGTCAACAGCGGACAAAAGGAGGGTGCCACAGGCTGCTTGTCCACACAGCTGGTGGCTTGGTTGCCCAGGGTTGGGTACTGAAGCTCTAGAAAGCATGGCCCCTCTGCACCCACCCCTGGGCACATGGATGGGACAAAGACATTGGTGCCAGGAGCTCTCAGCCATGCAGAGGACCTGCCAACCCTGGTTGAGTCCTTCCTTTACAGCAGGGGGTGGGAAACAGACATGGCCTCCTCCAGTCAGGGAAAGTAGTGGGTGTAGGGCTGAGCTTGCAGGACAATCTGGTTATTCATCTGCTTGCAGTCAGGGCAACTCCAAGTAACTGGGGGAGGGGTGAGGATCAGCGAGCCCAGATAAGCTGGCCCCATAGCGGCTGCCTTTGGAGTTCAGGTTATCTGAAAGGCCCTGGGCCTGGCCTCCAGCTAATTGGGAAGGTTAGGGACCCAGCCATAGCCTGTAATCAGCTGAAGGTGAGAGCTGGACAGGGGACCTTAATGACACTAGCCCTAGAGCAGCCAGCCTCTTTACCCTCTACAGATAACATCCAAAACAACCTCCACCTCCCCATTGCAACCCCCCCTCCCAGACCTCATGATAGCATCACTCAGAAGGTCATCAGGACATGAATCTAACTGTGGCTGGGCCAGGTGACCTTGAGGAAGGTAGGTGACCTCCTCATTCTCACAGCACTGCCTACTTATGGGGCTCTCTCTCAATCTGATAGGAGAAAAATATCTTCTTGGTCTGCAAAGAGGCTGCTGGAGACTGGGATGGCAACTCAAAAGGCATGGTACTGTCTGGGAGGGATTCAGTAAAAGGCCCAGTGGTCCAAGGGCAAAAATCACACACAAGCATAGACAACAGGACCAACTCTGCCAGGGGCACGCAGAAGCCAGGCCACAGAGCCACAAGGCTGAAACTGGGGGTAATTTCTCAATACTTGTTTTTAATTTTTACAAATCACAAACTGTAAACCCAAAAATGTCACCCACCCTCTTTTTGCTGATGACAAGCCTGAGTCTCAAGAAGGGCAGGGTCTTTCCCAAGGTCATGGGTTCACACAGCTAGTCAGATGACCCCTGTCTGCACCTTGTTGCTCCATGTACTCAGGCCAGTTCCTGAGTACAGCCACCTGGATCCCAGCTGACCTCTGCCTTCAGTACTCCTCAGACAACCCCAGACCCATCTCACTGACTCCCCAGGTCCTATCCAAGTTTTCAGCTGGAGCTTCTGGCTGACATTGAAACTGCTCCCCAAGTAACCCTCCCATACCTCCGCCTCCTGCAGACCTGGTTCTAAGATCCAGAGCCCAGTGGAAACTATGGAATGGCAGTGCTGCTTTTCTCTGTGAGCATGATAGCAATGCCGCCACTTAGAAAAAAATGCCTTTCTAAGGAGTGAATTTGGGATCTGAGTGTGTGCTTTTTTGAGGTTCCAGGGTTCCATTCTAGTTTTCCCCACCAGGAGCTATGTGACCTTAGCCAAATTACCTGAAACTCTAGGCTTCAGGGTTCTCGCATATACGGAGAGGCACTGGGAAGAGCTGAGCAGGGGTAGCCTGGCTAAGGCAAGAGGAACGATGCAGGTCAGAAAGGCAAAAGGGTGTTCAGAGGCTATAGACCAGCAGATCACTGTGGGGTGAGAGGCAGGAGGCAGAGAAGATTGTGACCACGCTGTGCCCCAGGTACTCCAGAGAACACCCCCCATCCCCTTCCTGGTGCGGGCCAAAATGAGCCAGCCTGTTGAGTGCCCACTGACCAGCCACACCCTGCTGTTTCAGGTGGACCAGTCCTGGAGCCTTTCTCACTCTGGTTCACTCTCCTGAGATCACAAACACCAACCCCGTGTCCAGGTTCAAGTTCAAGACTCGCACCTCATGTTTGCAGTCTTACTTATACCAACAGCTAGCTACAGCTGCACCAGTTTAGAGTTGTTATAGGATTCCTAAAACTCTGGTGAAATTCTTCCAGAATGGATAAGGACGCCTAGGTTCCTAACCACTGTGATCTCTCAAAATGCAAGGAGATGTCACTCCCCACCCCCCATTGCAAGTGTGCCCCAGGGAAGGCAGCCTAGCTGGGCCTCGGGTTCGCATCAACCTGACAGGCACTGGGTCACTTAGTCGGTAACTGTTCCAGTGCTTCCCAGAGCCTGACAAGGAAGTGGCCCCATGACTGGCCCTGGCACCAGACTAGGGCCATACCATGACTAGGAAGAGGGTCGGACAGCCCACTCTTCCCGCGTAGCCTGCCGCACCCCAGCCTGTTGACCAGACCCTGCGCTGGGTAATTGGGACGAGAGAGGCAACTGGCGAGCTGCGGCTCCAGGGAGACTGCGCGCCTGTCAGCCGCAATTTGTTTAAGTGGACGGGACAGGCCGGGCCGCCGCGGGCTGGGGTCACCGAGGCCGCGGCCCCCAGCCTGTCCAGACCCGGGACCGCGGGGGAGCCCAGCCCCACTGCTTAACCGGGCTAGCTGGCGCCAAGGCTCCGGGAGGCGCGGGTCCGGTGGAGAAGCTGTGGAAGGGAACGACGGATGCGCCTAGTGTCTCTCCTGACCACTTTTCCTAAACATAGGGCCACACATATCACCCCAGTTTTCCCCGGGCACATTCATTTGCCAAGACGCGCTTAGCGCCCAATTACCGGCGCTCACGTTCCCCTCACCCAACAGGACCACAATACACCCCACAGCCCGCATCCACTCGGTGCGGGCTCAGACAAATCTACTCCGGGTCGTGCATGCAGACACCTACAGGTGTTGTGGAATAATCTTTTTCCGCCTACACACAGGGACCTATGAGATTTTTAGGATCAACTCAGGAGTCAGATCTTAGCTTTGTCTCTTGACCATGCTCGATATTACAGGGCCAAAAAAAAAGGGGGGGGGAACCCGGCAGCCCTGCCAGGCTTGGGACTGCAGTCCCATCCGGGCCAGGCTACTGGTGCTCGATTTTGGTTGTTGCGGGAAGCTAAGAGCACGAACCATGCGAAAGGGGCCTGGGACCACGAAACCAGCGCTCGCCCGACGCCCCCCGCCCAGGACCGCCTGGGAGAGGGAGGGGCGGCTGAGCGCGCGTCCCCCACCCGTCTGCGGGTCCCGGCCGATGCGAAGTGACAGGGGCCGGAGCTTTGTTGTGGAGCCTCGGCCGCCTGGCGCCAGCCGCCCTCGCCGGTGCCCTCCCCCTCCAGCCCCGGGCGGCCCGCGAGGCGCCCCCCGGGGCCTCTTAAAGAGACACGCACACTCTGCCCGGGGGACTCCCCCAGGGGCGCCTGTTCCTGGGAAGGGGAGTTTAGGGGGGGTGCAAACCCAGGCGGGGGTAGGGCGGAGCAGGAGCTGCGAGCCTCAAGGCGCCGCTCGAGAGGCTGCTTGGGCCGCCCCCGCGCCAGTTTCTGATGATCCAAGGGTATTCTAGGCAGAAGTTTGATTGGGGAGGGTCGATAAAGAATCTTAAGAGTGGCTGAGGCAGGTCCTCCGGGTGACTGCGGGATGGTGGGCTGCAGCCGTTGGTGAAAGGAATCCCAGCCTGCCAGGAAAAAGCCTGTGGATCAGCCTCAGGGCAGGTTCTTAACTCCTTAGGTGGGATTCAAGTCCCCCAATTCAGCCACTGCGCCCTAGCTGCCCGGTTTCGTGGACAAATAACTCATACTTTCGTGTTTCAAATCTAGGGTACAGAGGGGTAGACCAGCTACTGTATGCTACCCAGGAAATATATCCAAAATACATACACAGTTCTTACAAGTACTGACGTGCTTGTCCCCATACACACAATTTAGCAGATGTATTGCTAATTCGGAAAGCTGACCTGGCCTTTTTTTTTTTTTTTTTTTTTTTTTTTTTTTTTGTTCACCTCACAACTGCCCAAGTGTGTTGAAACATATCTCTCCTGGAGGGGACAC